AGGAGTGAGAAGAGACGAGGACACAGTTCACAAGGAGTGAGAAGAGATGAGGACACCGTTCACAAACCTGTACTGGATATTTGACATGCAGCTCCTCTGAGAATATTTCTGATAAAAGAGACAGTAGACTGTATAGATGTTGGACAGACATGCTTTCAAAGGATGGTGGCAGAGCTCAAGTGAAATGAAGCATAAACCCAGGGGATCAATACACCCCAGTGTGAGTCAACAGGACACACACACACACACACACAGAACTCCCCTTCCGTCCAGAGAGGAAATGTTCAGTCCATAAATATTTGGAGCTTTGCTAATTGAAAGAATCTGCGCAGCTTCAATTCTGGGGGGTTCTTTAAACATTGCACTCGCATGCATTCTTTGTGGAGGTATCTGTTGCTTTGGTCATTAATGCCAAGTGAAATGAGCTGAGGCCTCGGTAAACACAAAGACGGACGGGCACACACATTCAAGGACGTAGAGATGCACACACACACACACACACACACACACACACACACACAGGTTGGGTTTGATCAGGCCACTGGCATTGTGTGTTTGAAAGTCACTCGTTTCCCTCTGAAGATCCCTTGTGTGCACGATCCTGCTTTCTGATTACACGCAATGCAGCGCGGTGGTGCTCTTATGGAGGCGAATGCAAGCTGTCCACTGGGAGAAGACCAGACTGCTATGAAATTCAACTGAAAAACATGTATGCATGTCATCGTGTTTGCATTTCGGAATTAAAAATTCATGAACATAGGTGTGTTTTTTATTTGTATTACTGTAGCACACACACACACACTGTCTTGCAGACTGCTCTGCTGCCGCCTATGGAGGAAGACACCTCATATAAATTTGTTTTTTAAGTCCTCTTCCACTTAACATGCAAGACCGATTGTTCAACTACTGCAGCATGAGCTGTCGCTGATGAGTTATGCATAGCGGCGCAGATGGGAGACGTGTCTGTGTGAAATGAAATGTGACAAGATGGATTTCGGATCACGTTCCATGCCTGCCGAAATCTCCCTTTTCTTCTGATTTTCCTGCCTCTCAGACGGACATTAAACACACCAAATCTCCTCTCATGGTCTTACTACCTCACGTTATGCTCTCTTGGGACTGGTGGCATGTCTCATACCTGACTAAAATATTAATCATATTGGGCTTTTTGTAAATACAGTTCCAATCATTTGACTGCATGCTTGTGTTTTACGTGTAGGGGCATATTTATTACATTAAAACCGTTCCCTAATTTTGTTCAAACTGACTTTTCTGCCGTAATTCACCAACCTAGCACCACTTTGTGCATTCAAAAGTAATCTTGTTGTCCACATGAGTTCATTCACACATGCTGAAAAAGAGAAGTTGCCGTTTGAACATGGTGACGCTGCCACACTATGTTCTTTTGGCCAACACGGCTCAAGTGCAGTCAGGTTAACCTGTAACTTTGTCCTCTTGGCTGGTAAAGTGTCTGTAGAGTTACTCAGTGTTCATTCAGTTTGACTTCACTGTGAGGGCTCGTGAGGACTCATGGACTGAAGTGTTTCAGGACTAACATGGTGGTGCAAAGGCCCGTAATCGAGACCGACAGAGCTGGAAATCCGACAGGAATCCTCAGCACGCCACCCGATGATCCGACTCAGGTGGTTCCACCTGCTCCACGCCGTCGTCAGTCAACTGGTTTGCTGGACGAGGAGAAGACCAGAACCGTTCTGCTGTTCTCAGGACTGTTCCTAACCCTCGGGGGTGTCACCTTCACCGCCATAGGCTGGCATCACTACCGAGCCAACCCCAACTTTGAGTGGGCCCAACTGCTGGGCCCCGTCCTGATCTCCGTCGGAGGCACTTTTGTGCTCACCAGCGTCTGCAAGTTCAGGATCCTCTGGCCCTGCAGAGAGTGGGACAACGAAGTGCTCGTGATGCCTGTGATGGAGCAAACTTCAACGGGACATTCTTTTACGTTGAGTGCCGTAAATCAACCGGCCCTGTTGTATAACGCCACAGCAGTGCTGTGTTTCCCACCCCAGTATGACTTTATAACCCAGCAAGTGCGCCAGGCCAGTGAGTTCCAGCCTGGCGGTCCCGTGAATGGCGTCGACGTGGCCCGTCCTCCACACGACGCCCTGCGCTGTGTGGATAACGCAGCTTTCACAGCAGAAGAAGAAGAAGACGGCTGGGTTCACTGTGCAGAAACAGACTGCAGAAGAAGCAGGTAGGGAACAGATCTTACTTGACGGACATTGCTCCAAATTTTTTTAAGGAAGCAAACCTCGAAGAAACAATGTTTTCTTCCTGCTGGGGTTCTTCATCACTTAGACCTGCTGTTACGATGAGGACAGGGTACACGCATGCACAAGAGAGTTAATCTTTAGTCAGATTTGAGTTTGTTTAAAAACTTCTCGCAGTACTCATTAAAACAGAGCGTGCCAGATTTAATTTCTTATTAACCGCAAGATCACTTTCCACACAACGTGTTTTTGGTCGTCAATACTCTCTCAGACAATTATGGCGCAATGAATCTCTCTCTAACAGTACACACACTGATATTTATCAAGTAATTAACTATTCTTTACAATGTGACTCTGATAAAGTAACACAATTAAACTGTTTGTCTCTTTTCCCCTTTTAATCAATCAGTGTAAGGCTCTCTCAGGCTTTTCATAAATATAAAATAGGTTGTGTGTTGATGAAATGTGGACCAAAATAGCTCCTCGACTTCTCACTGAATCCCCCTTAGCTGTGATTAAACTCACTCTAGTCTTTCTAGCTCGAGTCGTATCATCAAAATGTGGCCTGCACGGTGAAGAATCAGCAATATAATGCATCAAAGGCATTTCACAACGTATATGTGCTATGTAAAGAATAATCATATTTCCCCACCTGTTCCTGAACCCTGTGCTGGGGGGGAACATAACACTGTGTATTGTCGTAAAAAAAAGTTTCTTTCCACAAATTGCAATATCCCATTTATTTGAAATCCAATCAAATATCCTCGGACAGACACAAAGCTGCATTCCATTAGCGGCAATTTGCAAGTTTTCACTTTTCTTTTATTGTTTCTAGACGATTACTCGCAGCAGGTTTCCAGGAAAGTAATTCACTTTAATAAAAGCAGACAGCAGGAATAATACAGTTAACCTAGGATAACTATAAACTGCTGCCCTGATCTTATGAACACATGCTCTGCTCACCAGCTCTCACTTATGTTGTCACAACTTCTGACCTATTTCGGTCTGTTTCCACTGGTTAATGCCAAATAGAGGAATGATCAAGGGGAGAAATTGCTGAACCTCAGTGTTTTCCTTTAAAGGGCAATCGGCTTCCTAACGTGCACTTCAAGCATAACCAATTGGGTCAGTAAACATTTGGATATTAGCCAGCTCTTATCTTAAATCCACCCTAATATATTGTGTAATTCCTTGCAGGATTGAGAAGACTAATGAAAGAGGATGTGGCGACGCTACCTGTTCTCCTCCACCTGCATACGAAGACATCTATACCCTTCCTTTAACAAACGCAATGTGACATAAACTCCTCCTGCTATTTCATTCCACAGCAACACAAGAGAAACTTTTGCGTTCCTCTCACAGCTGTTATCATGCACGCTTACCATCATAATTATGTATGAAGTCATAAAATCCACCAAGATGAAGCTCCCTGGAAGGAAACCTCATTAAAAGTGAGATTTATGGACAAACGCAGCTCAATCTGAGGGCTCTAAAGTTCTGGAAACTTAGAGATATTAAATTTATATTCAGCATAAAACACATATTTATGCAGTACTTGTTGTCTCTCAATAGCTGCAGAAACAACTGTACAGTACATGCACATTACATGCACATTACATGCACATTACGTGTTGGCCGAGGGAATGTGGACAGCCACTATTGCATGAAACAAACATGGGGACAATTTAAAAGACACACTTTGAAAAAGTTTTTAGGTTTTTTTTATGCTGGGAGAAAAATAAACATCAAAACAGGAAAAAGTCATAATGGTCATTTACCATGTTTTGTAATTGTTGTCATGTTTGTGTGTGGCGATAAAGACACCATGAAAGTCAAAGGTCACGTCAACATGAACACATTTCTAAATAATTTAAATTTAAAAAACTACTATTACCAATACTACTATAGGTAACAATAAAGCCAATAATCCACTCAGATTAATCTGAAGTGTTCCGTTTACGTGCCCTTTACTTCCCGCCGGATCATTCAGCTGCATAAACTAGTTTGCTGATGCGTTCACTGTCTGTTGCGTTTGCAGGATACACACAAGTGTTTCTGCACCACACGGGGGCAGAAACACTGTGGAAATCAATACACCTTTCCTCACCGGGTCAGGTGATCAGGGAAGCCTATACAGTGAAATGCATGACGACCATAACAACAGGTGTCGTGTTAATAATAACACAATTACATTAAAAATCCCGTTGACAATAAATAAAACAAGATTGGCTTCAAGATTTGGTTTTTGTTCCTCACTGCTGTTTCTTAGAATCAATTTAGTATTTTTCATTAATATCTTACATCGCAACTAACTTGTATTCTCCCGTTTTATTCATCTTTTTCCCTTTTTAGAATTATTTTCCTGAATAAAAAACATCTTATTTAGGCTTGAATTGCCCTTTTATGTTAAATCGCCTTCCAAACAATCTTTGTTAATAATGAATCAACTAATTGACATCTTCGTTTTTGTCTTCTGGAGGAACGGTCTGTGGATGGCAATCTTGATTTGGACCCGAAGATGAAATAAAATCAATAATAAATTCCGATAAATAAGTAAATGAATGAATAGTTTGAATAAAGATAAAGCACAGAAACACGTCTGTGTGCAGCTAAGTTCCCTACAGCCGGACCAAGTCGATTAACATCGATCAACACGATAAAAAACTATTATGGTTAAGAATTTATTGATATTTCATTTAATTGAATTAAATGATTTCTATCAATTCAATTGAGTTTTGTGGAAAAGAGTTTGACTTTGTTTATTTATTTATGTGGTTAAAACTTGCAGTGTGACAGTTCTGCTCTTGAGGTGAAAGAATTGTAGATTCAAAGTCAAATATTTACAGTTGAGGCGAATATATTTTTGACATTTGTGACTTTATTTAGTATAAAGAGCTCGTGGTGCGTGTTGTTATCGTTGATGCTTCACGAATCACAAACTGGATCCCAGCGGCAGGAAAGAAACGTTTCGTCTGAGTGAATCTATTTTATTTATTTGGAGGAGAGATGATGACATGTCACTGTACTTGGCTCGGTAAATATTCACTCCATAACTAAAAAATATCCCCCCTGCCAACACCCCCCCCCCCTCCACAAATGATCTACCGGCTTTGCTCCAAAAAAGCACGCGCACTGCAAAGCAACTTTCCAAAAAAAAAGAATTCATAGCAATTTAGAAAACATCTCAGGACCTCCTTCAAACTTGTGCCGCTTGCCTGCAGATGTATAAAAAACCGCAGCGCAATATGACTTTCATTATTTTTACAGCACAGTAAAACGCGGGTGGCCGACGGGGCCCATTATATCACCATTCTGGAGCATCGGAGACGATTTATGGAAGTATTACGGAACATGTTGAACGATAACAAGCGGGGGGGGGGGGGAGTGGAAATAGTCGCCCACAAAGTCCCACGAGAACGTGAGTCCCGATATGAGTTTTAAGGTTATGAATATGTTATTAGCAGTAGCCTAAGTTGTGTGGTTAATAATAAGGAAAACCGCTTTATTATTTCCAGCTGGAGCTTCTTTAAAGAGAAACAACAACAATGAATACGCACAAACAATATTAGGCAGACGACAATATGTCCTGCAAATAAAAAACCAAACGTCCACGAGTTTAGTTTATAACACTACAGCTCTCTCTGAAGGCAACAGGTGTTTTTTCTGTCTTTGCGTAACTCTGCTGGACTGGACCAACTCTTACTCGCTCAGTCTGTGTTTTTTTGTCACGTGTTTTCCAGGATGAGCGTGCATTGTGAGGCCACTAAAGTGGTTTGATTGTGCAGGAGGGCCTGAGCCCGGAGGCCCTCTCACTAAACCACATGTGCTCCCAGCTAAGCATTTGTGGACGGATTTGGAAACTACATCTGAGATGGCATTTTTCCCTTTTGAAATCAAAAAATACCAAAGGGTCAGATAATCCCTGGAAATCATGATTAGTCTAAAGTAAATGAGCGCTGACCTTGCTCCGCATGCTGGCTGTGGAGTGGACCGGGCCATTGTGTTTGCAATGTTACACCAACGCTCTCCCCGTATGGTGCATGCTAATAAGACCGAGACTTTAGACTGTGACGTGAGCTGATTGTGTGAGAATATCAAAAAAGCTGCAACATTATATGGCTGACAGGGTGGAAAAAAAACTCACAAAAGAAAAGGTTTCGAGTAAGATTTGTTTCCGCGATTGTGCAACCTTCAATTAGCATGCACAGATGTATTCATTTAACCTTTTAACGCGCAATTTCCCCCTTTCGTTCCAACTTAAGTGACATTAAATCATCTTTTTTCACACTGTCTGACTGATCATCAGTCGAGTCTTCAAATCCCAAACACACCACGTCTGTTTGTCTGTCTGCACTATTTCTTGTAACATAAATAATTTATGCAAATATCTTTAGTCTATATGTTTGGAAACTTTCTCAGATAGAATTTGAAGTAAAGGGTTTTACCATGTTTAGCTGCACAGTGTTTTTAGGCTTCTGTTTGTTAAGGGGCCACTTATTTTTTATTAATTGCTGACTTATTAAGTGAAATGTAAGCAATGTGTTTTATTATTTGAATTATGCAACTTGTCTTAAATTAAAGGGTCAGTCCACCCAAATTTCCAAAAAAAGAATACTTACCTCTCCTCACTCGACCAGCTGTAGAAGGTTTATGCGTTTGACCCCGTGATACAAAGTGCTTGTGACCTCTTGTCACAGGTTGCATGTGTATATGTTGTTCTGTCAAAGACTGATTGTCTCTTCTCATAAAGAGGCAAAGCTAGTTTTCACCAAAAAAAAGAAGCAAACATTTGGAGAGACGTTTCTAATTAAATGTGGATTTGTCGAGCTGAAACTATTCATTAATGTTCATGTCTTTATTATTTTGTACCTAGTTTGATCATCTCATGGCCCTTCATAGGGGTCTCGCCCCCCAGGTTGGGAACTACCTGTTTAAGGAAAAGTTCTCTGTGGAAAACGGTCCAAAAAAAAAAAACCTCCTTTTTTCCA